TCTCGCGTGGGACTTGCTCGCAATTTATTTTAATTTCCGCGCCCTCGACAATCCGGAATCACGCTTTGGCTTCTTGTTTTTTTTTTTTTTTGTTTCGCGACTCACTTGGGAATCGCGCTATCGCTTGAGACCTCCTCGCGATTCATGCAGTATTCACGCTTCAGCGACCCGCCTGCTCGACCTGGCCGCTTAGGCCCGCCTTCCCGACCCGCCCATTGGTGTCTACCCGCCCCATCAGCCCGTCTGGTTCTGCCATGTGTTTTCTTCCACGAGCACCCCTCCTGCTAATCCCATGCTCCATCCTTCTCCCTCTCCCTTGCGTGAGTCCTCTCTTCCCCCATTTTAGACGCTGCACCAATTACGCGCGGCCTGTAAGGAAGATGTAACCCCAGGGGGGACGACCGAAGACGAAGTGGGCGGGCATCGAGGGCTTGGGATATACGTGTTGAGCGGCACGCGAGTAGGCAAGAGCGAACAGTCTTACAAGGATGATGTTGTTGAATTCTCATTTCTAAGCCATAATTATTGTTGACCACCCCTTCGGATAACCATTGCATTTTCAATTGAAGTGCTACCCTCGGGGCTGGCACACTTTCTTGTTTTAGAAAAAGCAAAACAGAACGACTCTATATTATTATATATAACTTGGAAATAGTGGTGTCACCAAGCTGCGTTGTTGGGCTCCGAAGTGCAACACCAACGGCTCCGTCCCGCCTGATACTTCTTGACATTTTATTCAAACATCGCGCTCTCGCGCTGGATTTCCTCACAAGTTATGCAGGAATCGCGCTCTCTTGTGGGACTCCCTCGAAATTTATTCAAACGCCGCGCCCTTGACACTCAGGAATCACGCTCTCGCTTCGGCCTTCTGGGAGTCGTGCTATGGCTCGAGCTCTCCTCGCGATTCATGCATTACTCCCGCTTCATCGCGCCTTCTCGACGTGGCCGCTTGGGCCCACCTTCAGACCCACCCGTTAGGGTCTGCCCGCCCGAGTGGCCCGTCTGGTTCCGCCACGCGTTTTCTGCTCCCGGCGCCGCGCGCATCCGTTTCAATATATTACAGCAGCTATAAGGATGGAGGGCGGGTGGTTTTCAAAATGTGGCTCTCGCCGCAGCGCCTCGCGCATTCGTTTTTAGTTTATTTTTGTATTCAAGTTGCAGCAGTTTGAAGGAGGGAACGAGGGGGGGGAGGGCGTTTTTTTACATGGAGCTGTCGTCTCAGCGCCGCGCACTTTGTTTTATTCAACTTGCAACAGCTACAAGAACGCGTTGCGGTGCATTCTCAACATGGGGCTTTCACTTCAACGCTGCGCGCATTCGCCTTGCATTGCAAGTTCGCACCAGTTACAGAGATGCAGGACGTTTCCTTTTCAAAATTGGGTTTTCGCTTGAGTCTTATTTGAATGCGAAGATGGGAGACTTGAACACCTGGGACAGCTGCACCCATTCATGGCGATTCTTTTCAAAACGGTGTACTCTCGCTTGAGACTTCTTCGCTGCCATAAGGGTAAACATGTGCCGCGGGCACACCGAGGGGGGCGGATCTTTCTCCAAATGGAGATACATCGATTGCGCTGCTTGACCGTCGTAGACCTGTTCGAGGTTTAGACTCGCGACCGCGCTCCCGAAGCCTCGAAAACAACATTCACGGGGCATTCCTGAGAGCGCCCAGGAGCGCCCATGACTCTGGGTTCCAGGCCCTCTGAAGAGGAAATCTGTGCAAGATTCAGCTCAGAGAAGTCGAAGGGACCTGAGGACACTCCATTCAGTGCCGACGACACGGTGGTGTATGTGTGATTGTGTGTATGTGCATGTGCATGTGCATGTGCATGTGCATATGCATGTGCATGTGCATGTGCATGTGCATGTGTATATGTACGTGCATGTGTATGTGTATGTGTATGTGTATGTGTATGTGTATGTGTATGTGTGTGTATGTGTGTATGTGTATGTGTATGTGTATGTGTAGGTGTATGTGTATGCGTATTTTTATGCGTATGTGCATGCGTATGAATGTATGCATGCATGTATGTAGATGTGTGGGTGTTTGTCTGTCTGTCTGTCTGTCTGTCTGTCTGTCTGTATGTATGCCTGTGTGTGCGTGTTTCTATGGTGGACGCGCCGGTCGTCGGTCGCATGTTTGTTGACTTTGTATGTACTCGGTAACTTGTCTGTCTGATCTTGTTGCCGCGTGGGTCTCAACTGTACGCTGACTCTGATTGGCGCGGGCTTCGCCGCCATACTGGCCTCCAGACTGGGCGGATGAAGATGAGATCGACGGGAACGAGGAGGAATTTCGAGCCTCGATGCTGCCGCGCTTCCCACGCGACGCGCGGGAGTCTGGCGGGCAGGCGGAGTCTCAGTGATGGGCCTGATCGAGCAGATCATCTCGGACTCGGCTCGCACCCACCCCGCCCCGCGCTCTGTTCGCTCCTGCACGGCGCCCCCTCACTGAGTCAAAACAGATGCCCAATCCCAAGAACGCGAGGGCCAAGACAAAATGCAGGCTCCTCGAGACTTCGGGGAGGGAGATCTTGGGGTAGGGTTTTACCAGGGCGACCACGACGAACGCAAAACATACCCCGAAATCTTTGGCCGATCTTCGAATCCTCGGCGAATCGCGATTTTGGGATTGGGGATGTGTTTTTTCGTGGTCACCTCGGGCCCCTTCCCTGCCTGCTGACGCCACCTTGTCGCCTCGCCCCCCCTTTTCTAACCTCGGGGTCGGCAGCACCCCGACATACTGATACTATGTGTGTGCGTCGCCCCCACCCTCGGGGCGACGCGCGCACCGAAAGACTTCATGATTTGTGCATCGTGGCGGGCGCTTTCTGGCCGTACCGCTCGGGAGACGATGTACTACAACATGGGTATACTATATATGATCGGGTCGGGCGCGCGACTCCGAGGAGGACATCGTATTAGTACACCTTAGGCGATGCTTAAGAAAACTTACAATTTTCGGCCAGAGTCTCGATTATTCTTAACGTTTCAATGTCAATCCTAAGATTTGAATATAATCTTTGGTTTTTCATTCAAGTTCTGAGACCATGAATTTCTTAACCCATGATTTCTTAAGCATTTCGCAGGGTGTAGTATGTTTTTGTGCGTCCCATTCCCAGCCTGCTGACGCTTCCCTGTCGCATCGACCCCCCGTCGAGTCCTGGGGAGGAGGACGCCGGCAGCCGCGCTCGGGGCGCTCTTCTCCTGTGTGGGCGGGCTCCGGTCCCCCGGTCCCCTCGGCGCCGCATCCACCTGCCTGAGAGTGACTCCACGCACGCCCGAAGCGTCACGGGTTGGTTCAGCAGCAAACCATGGGAGTCTTTCATCCATCAAGGGATGACAAGCCACCAGGACCCGACAGTTGACGTTTGCTAAACGGCCCTGGGCGTGTACTAAGCAGCCCCGCCCTGTTCGGTTCCTTCCGTGGGCGCGTTTACTAAATGGCTTCGCTTGTCGGGGTGATTATTATGGGGGTGGGTTTTCTGCCCTCTATTCCAATGCCCTCGTAATTCCGTCTTTAGCGTTGATTCGCGTCGGTTAGCGTCCATTAATCGATGAGAGAGCGTCGGTTTAGCGCTGAGGATCTTCGATCAGAGTCGGTCAGCGTCGGTGAACGTCGATTAGCGTCGATGTAGCGTCGATTCAGCACCCATTTGCGTCGATTCGCAAGAGCCAGCAAGATGGTGAGGAAGGCTCCCGTGGGTCGCCACAGAAGGGTGACCTTCGCGCCCGCAGGGGGTGCGGCGGCGGGACTCTGGGCGTGCGGGGCAGGAGCTGCCGTGCGATCCAGGCGCGGCAAGCTCGCCGCGCCGTGCGTCCTCGCCCCGCTGTCGGGCCGCGGGGCCATGGCAGGCCGGCTGCACGTCCGAGTGACCTTGCGCCGCAGCGACCTTTGGTGCGGGCCCGCCGGGGCCCTCTGATCGCGTGCGAGGGCCAGGGGCATCCCCTGCTCTGGAGGGGCACCCCCATGCCGAGCAGCGGCGGAGCGTCCTGGCTTGCTCAGCGGCGCGCCGAAGACTGTTCGGAGAACCTTTTGTGGCTGGTGCGACCGGTCTTTAGAGAACACTTCTGGCCGCCTCTGTCTTATTTTTAGCACATGGGGTCTATGTTCTGACGAGCATGGTTCCTGCTCTTACACTACTTTCTGGCTCAAAGAATCTCGTGGTAGGCCCGTAGGAGTGCCGGAACGGTCGGTCCCGATTCAACCATGCTCTTCGCGCCTGGGCTCTCCGCCTTGGAGGAGGAGGAGGAGGAGGAGGAGGAGGAGGAGGAGGAGGAGGAGGAGGAGGAGTGCTCTTCTCTCTGGGCACCGCCGTGGGGCCTCGGCGCTTCGGTTCGGCGGGCGCGCCCTGGGTGGAAGGGCGGCGGGGCGGACCTCCTCGGAGGGCGGCGGGGCTGCTCAGAGGCCCTCGCGCCTTCGCAGGGGCCGCTTGCAGCTTGGGAGCAGGCTCGCAGGGCCCCTCACGAGGCGGGAGGGTCTCTCAGAAGTGCAGTCAGCCCGCATGGTGAGGATGGGCAACCTCCCCAGTGGCGTCCTTACCTCCTCGGCCCATCCTTGGCCTCTTTCACTTGGCCGCGCCCCGCTCGACAAGCTTCGAGTCGGGCTTCCAAGGCCCGTGCATCCTTATCGCACATCCTCACGGTACGGGTCGACGGCACCGCCGCCGTCTGAGAGTGCCAGGCGTCCCTCTGCGTCGCCTCGCTGCAGGGCCACAGCTCGGGCCTTCGGCGGCCACTCGGGACCATCCGGGCACTCCCGGACCGCCCTCGGCGAGGCGCATTTGCTGGAACGACGACGACGGCGAAGACGAAGCGACGACGACGACGAAACGACGACGACAAAGCGACGACGACGAAGCGACGACGACGACGACAAAGTGACGACGACGACGAAGCGACGACGACGACGAAGCGACGACGACGACGAAGCAGCGACGACGACGACGAAGCGACGACGACGACGACGAAGCGACGACGACGACGAAGCGACGGCGACGACGACGAAGCGATGACGACGACGCCGAAGCGACGATGACGAAGCGACGACGACGACGAAGCGGCGACAACGAAGTGACGACGACGACGACGAAGCGACGACGACGAAGCGAACGCCCTCGGGAAGGCGCAACTGCTGGAACGACAACGACGACGGAGCGGCGACGACGATGACGACGATCAAGCGACAACGAAGCGACGATGACGACGACGACGAAGCGACGACGACGACGACGACGCGACGACGACGACGCGACGACGACGACGACGAAGCGACGACGACGAAGAAATGACGACGACGACGACGAAGCGGCGACGACGACGACGAAGCGACGACGACGACGAAGCGACGACGACGAAACCACGACGATGACGGCGACGACAAAGCGACGACCACGAAGCGAGGACGACGACAACGACGAAGTGACGACGACGACGAAGCGACAACGACGACGACGAAGCAACGACGACGACGAAGCGACGACGACGACGAAGCGACGACGACGGCGAAGCGACGACGATGACGACGAAGAAGCGACGACGACGAAGCAACGACGACACCGATGTAGCGACCACGACGACGACGACGAAGCGACCACGATGATAACGACGAAGCGACGACGACGACGAAGCGACGACGACGTCGAAGCGACGACGACGACGAAGCGACGACGCCGACGACGAAGCGACGACAACGACGACGAAGCGACGACGACGACGACGAAGCGACGACGAAGCGACGACGACGGCGAAGCAACATCGACGACGACGAAGCGACGACTACGACGAAGCGACGACGACGAAGAAGCGACGACGGCGACGACGACGACGACGACGACGGAGCGAACGTCCTCGGGGAGGCGTAACTGCTGGCACGACGACGACGAAGCGACGATGAAGTGACGACGGCGATCAATCGACGACGACGACGAAGCGAACGCCCTCGGCGAGGCGCAACTGCTGGAATGATGACGACAACGAAGTGACAACGAAGAGACGACGACGACGACGAAGCGATGACGACGACGAGGACGCGACGACGACGACGAAGCGACGACGACGACGACGACGAAGCGACGACGACGACGAAGCGACGACGACGACGGGGACGAACCGTCGACGACGACGACGAAGCGACGACGACGACGATGACGACGAATGAGCGACGACGACTACGCCGACGACGACGGCGACGACGGCGACGGCTTGGGCCCCCATTTTTGGTCAAAATCAAGAAAACAACAAGTACACGGTTCAAGACGCCGCCTAGTGTATTCGACGCGTTTCGGTAGCGTTTAGCCCCCCGCGTCAGGCATGGGCCCCTCGTCGTCGCCGTCGCCATCGTCGTCGCCCTCCTCCTCGTCCTCGTCTCTGTCGTCCTCGAGAGCGACGTCGTCGTCGTCGTCGCTTCGTCGTCGTCGCTTCGTCGCCGTCGACCGACACGCCGGGGCCCTGCCAGGTCTCGCTGGAGGGGGAGACCGTGGCGGGGGAGGCCAAGGCCCAGGCCGACTACGAGAAGTTCCAGAAGGACGCTCGCCGCGCTCGCGCTCGGACCCAGCGCCCGGCCCGCGCACGTCGTCTGCGGCTCTCCCTGCGGGCGTGGCGGCTCGCCCGCGCGGCCGTCTGCTTCCTCGGAGGGCGGCTCCTCCTCCTCCTCCTCCTCCTCACTCCTCACTCCTCCTCCTTCTCCTCCTCCTCCTCCTCCTCCTCCTCTTCCTCCTCCTCTTCCTTCTCCTCATCCTCTCCCCCTCCGTCCCTTCCCCTTCTAGATAACTCTCCCCCGTCCCCGGAGGACTTTTCCACCATTCATAATTCTGAAGCTTGAAATTTGCAACGATATCAAGGATGGAGGGCAGCTGGATTTCAAACTGTGGCTTTCGCCTTAGCTCCGCGCACAGTCGTCTTAAAAGTTTTAGCAGTTTAAGGATGCCCGAAATGGGTACGGAAAAAATGGGTACGATGTCCAATCACACATGTCGTCCAACACACCGACAGCGGCCGCTGTTGGGCAGGCGGCCTTCTGTCTCAAATGGACAACTTCCGCGGCGACACCGACGACGACTCCTGTTGAAACCGGGCAGGACATGTTTTCGGCCTTCGTGCCCATTCTTTCCGTACCAATTTCGATCGTACCGAGTTGATGCACCAGGACTGGCAACTTGGCACGTTTTAGGGTCGTCGAGGCGCGACAGCCACGTTGAGTCGCAGTGTGAAGTC